TCGTTTGTCACCCTATCCTATAAAAAAAATATAAAAATTACGTGTCACATTGTTTGTCCACGATGAACTCCTAAACTACTGCACTGATTTCAATGAAATCTTTATAAATAAAAATTACGTGTTATATTTTTTGTCCGCGATGAACTCCTAAACTACTGAACTAATTTCAATGAAATTTTCACACTCTGTGCAGTTTGATTCAACTTGAGAGATAGAATAGTTTTTATCATGATAAGTGACACTCAATATTTTTTGTATTACGAATTTAAGCATTTTTTATATGAAGGGTCCTCGAAAAGGGCAGAAAAGTGTCTGCCTGGTCAACTAGTAAGTATATAAAATACGAAGAAACTTTTTCCCCGACCCAATATTATAATGACAAAGCAAAAATATTTTAATGTAGTAGTTAGTAGGTTACAGATGTATTCATTTTTGCTGCCAAAATTATTGATTAAAGTACATACTAAAGAAATTACCTGGTAACTGGTAACACTACTTACGACCATTTTCCTACAAAATGCTTGTTTGTGCTATACTTATGCTAAGGTTTTTGATACATATTTGATTTGCCTCTTCATAATACTTAAACCTTGCCTAATATTTGAACAATGTTAATTAAGTAGGTAGTATTTATATATGTACATCTATATACATATAAATAAAATACAGTGTCTGTCAGTAATATTGAAATAACAGGCTTCAATTAAGCTCACTGGGTTATTTGAATGTAATTATGACATAAATAACAATTTTCAAAATTTTTGTCTGTCTGTCTATCTATCCGAGCCAATCTTCGGTATGGTTGAACCGATTGTGATAAAACTTTACGAACAGATAGAGAACAAAGCAAGGAGAGTGTCTAGGCTATAATATTTACCCAATTTTCATTTTGTAAAAACGACAAATTGATCAAATAAATTATTTTTGGTAACTTATATCTAAATAACATCAACATTAATAGATCATATCCAGGCGAAGCCGGGGCGGGCAGCTAGTTTCAAATAAAATCTTTACCATTAGTAAGGCAAATTAATTGAGTATTAACACTTTGCCGTAAAGGAGCTGGGAGAAAACCATTAATTGTATAACCAGAAACAATGAAATAAATCACCGAGCGTTTAATGGGAGTATTCTGTACATCGTTTGATAATTAATCACTGTTCTTAGGTCTTAGCTGTTTAAGGAGTTGGAATGCCCTCGAGGCGAAAGGGGAGAGAACAGGGAGGGGTAACCCCGCAACGCCGCCCACACTTGGATAATCCTCCATTTACATAATTGCCGTATAAAAAGGAGCGCTTCCCAATTTGCTAAATTGCTTCAAACGACACTGTTAAACGTATCGCTCGCGTTAGTCACGGCGTCATTTCCCCAGCGGCTCCGGCTAGAGGTCCCCGATTAACACTGATTTAGCGATCGAAAAATCTTTTACTGTTTATTGAATTAAGATGTTCGATATTCTTGCAACGCTATGATCAAAATGTTGATTCACGGAGTTTTAAGCTCAAATACATATTTTAAATAAATACTCAATCACTTATAATATTAAAAACTAAGGATCAGTACTTATATATTTTTATCTTTATACTCTGTGAGAGTTGTCTTCGTTTTCTCATTTAACGATCTTCGCCACTATTCACGGAGAGTAGGCTAATGTTTCACTTTGCGAAAAGAAGGAATGTCATAAATGTTAAATTTGTAAAGAATATTATATACAGTTTTTAATACCTTATTACTAACATATTTCTACCTATTACTAGTTTTTCGCCTCGCGGTGTTACCCGCGTCCAATTTAAATTGTCCAGATAGTCATCCATCCATCCATCCATTACAGCCTATAAAAGTCCACTGAGCAACATAGGCCTCTCTGATAGATTGCTTGATTGAGGTATTTTGCCATGGTCGCCATGCTTGGCAAGCGGGTTGGCAAGCGCCTTCTTACGTGGTAGACCCATGCTACAGCTATATTAATAGTACCTATAATTGTAGCACGAATGGGTCGGCTCGACCGGGGAAGGATCACGCTCTCACAGAATACCAGCGTAAAATAGCAGCTTAATGCTGCTGTGTTTCGTATGGTGAGTGTAGAGAACCGGAGACCTATTTTACTGGAAAAGAGGCTGTTCTCTTAGTCGTCACGGGTGACAACGCATCTGCATTTTAATTCGCAAACGAAGATAGATGTAGATGTCTATGGGCCACAGCAACCACTTACCATCAGGTGGACTGTGTGCTCGTTTGTCACCCTTATTCCATAAAAAAGCGCAGTTTTTTTATTATTTTCGGTTGTTATCAGGACGATGCTGCTGCCCATCTGTTGCATTTCCCTTCTGTCGCCTCTTACGATACCCACGGGACGATATGGAGTAGTGGATATTTTTACACCGCCACTACACGTTATGAATGATCCACGCTTATTATGAGCTATCTCATATTTGTAAATCGTAATAATGTTAGACTAAGGTAACAATAATAATAATCTTCATTTTCCTTCTTCAATAAATCAGTTTCTGTTATACTTACTTAATTAAACTTATTACTTGGAACTCTAATATTTCCCATCATACTTCCTTTCGTGTATTTCTATCCTGCTTTTCTCAACTGTCGTCTTCTTGTTTTCAATTTTATTTATTTTGCATGCCTAGCGCAAAGCATGTAGGTATGTTCTACTAGCGCCTAAAAATCAAGATTTCAACGTTTTGTCGCATAAAATCGTATCTAACAATCATATTGAACATATAAATTATATAAAAAGCACATTGTCAGAAAGGTAAATGATTGTTGAACTTATTAATATATTTTTTTAAATCGATTAACTGCTATTTTAACATAAAAAAGTGGTTTTAGTGACTTATGGTGTAGATTTATCAAGTCCGCGTGGAGTGGTAAACACGATAACTTTTGAAAATATTAATTGTTTAACTCAATCTATTTTTTAATCTCTTCATCTATCATGTGGGAAGCCATGGAATGTAAATGTCAGTTTAATTTTGTTTTGTTTAGTTATAATTAATTTTTTTCGGCTACGAAATGTCGAAATTTTCGGTGTTTTAGCAGTATTGTATTAATCTCTTTTTTGTAAATAGACTGCGGCAGTCTGACTGCCTCACTCAGTTCGGCGTCTACCACCGTCGTGAGTGAATACTGTATTAGTTGTTTGCAGCGGCCCAAAAAGATCGCTGTACAAATACAAAACATTTCCCAAAAACCAAATTACATACATAATTGATTATTATAATAATCAGAGATTTTTATTACAATATTTTAAAAGTACTAAATAATAGTAGTACGTACTAAAAGTAAGTAGGATGTATATATTTAAGTATATTTATACTTAAATACTTCTTAGCCTTTATGGAGTTACCTGAATGATGATGATATGAGCATTATGAGTCGTACACTTTTGGATTTTCCAAACTTTTTTTTTAAATTGAAGTTTGACACAAAATTATTGGAAAATTGGAAGTATAATAATAAGGTTATTAGTGAAAACTTGTGTGTATTTAAAAGCACAGATATAGATAGCACAAATAAGTCGGCTCGAGCGGAGAAAAACCACGCTCTCACAGACACCGAATAGCAGAGTAAAATAGTAATGGACGATTTTGCAACTATTCAGCGAGTTAGACAGACTTTGTCAATCAGGCATATGTTCAAAACGGCATAGAGAGTTAATTTAAATTTTCTAAATTATTTTTGTTCCCTGTAAATGATTAAGGGCTTTCTGTTTTTTTTTTCTAGTATGTCTTACATTAATGGTCTTGCTTCATGGACACCACTTTACTAATAAAGATCATATCATCAAAGCTGCAAACCAGCTTGTCACGATATACACTGGTCAGCTTTACCGTAGAACACTCGCCTTCGATAGATCTACAAGATTAAATACAAACAAGATAACCGATTGATTGACTTTGACAAAATCACCCAATACTTCGCCGGCGTCGCACTTTATATCCAAGTGAATGGGAGTTTTAAGTAAGATTGAAAGAGTAAAACTTGAGTGATCGTACTCCAAATAAAGCTAAGGTAATTCTGCCAAAAGGTCAAGATGTGTTTTTTTTTCATTATGACCATGATCACCTCCGTGATTATAGGTGCTCCAAAGGGTGGTGGGTCGGCTCGACCGGGTAAGGACCGCGCTCTCAGATAAAGTTGGTGTGTTTCGTATGGTGAGAGTAGAGAACCGGAGATCCTTTTTACTGAAAACGTGGCACTACATCTTAGCCCTGAGGGTTGATAATGCATTTACATTTTGATCCTTAATCGAGGAAAGATGTAGGTAGATATCTGTTGACCGCAGCATCCACTTACCATCGATGGGCTTTGTATTCGCTTGTGACTATTATTCTATAAATAAAAAACAATAAATTACCTTCCTATAGTAATTGTGGGCTCGTGAACTTGGTGTGTCAAGGCTTGGCTTGACGAACGTCACATTAATTATTATTCATCGATCACTAATAAAAAACTAGATACACAATCAGTGACAAAAAATGTCCTTACCGAATGAGCGCCCACTCGAACATTTGGGTGCGTTTTTAATTTTTACGAAGCTTTGTAAATACAACTTTAGGCAATGCATTTAAGGTTGAATTTACATTAATGTATATTTATTTCAAGTAGAATTACGTCAAAACAATTGGCGACAGTTTTTAGAGAACTTTTGCACGGGATTGTGTATCTAGTTTTTTATTAGTGATCGATGTTATTACTACACGTTGAAGTCACGATTTATTAATTAGGTACTACGTTTTAACTGTACTGATTGTTATTACACGTTGAAGTCACAATTTATTAATTATTACGTTTAAAATGTACTGATTGTTATTAGACGTTGAAATCACATTTTATTAATTACTACGATTAAACTGTACTGATTGTTATTACACGTTGAAGTCACATTTTATTAATTACTACGTTTAAACTGTACTGATTGTTATTACACGTTGAAGTCACAATATTACTAACGCTCTTATTAATAGCTACGTATTATTTAACAGACACAACAGACAAGAATCTTAATGGGGCGATCAGCAATGCTGGCGGCAAGCAGCGTCGCTCAAGAACTAACTTTACCCTGGAGCAGTTGGGCGAACTAGAAAGGCTGTTTGACGAAACGCACTATCCTGACGCGTTTATGCGGGAGGAGCTTAGTCAACGGCTCGGACTTAGTGAAGCCAGAGTGCAGGTAAGAATATTTAATATTTTATATGTAATGTAAAAATATAAAGTAGAGTTACAGGCTATAAAAGTTTTTAGGCTATTATGCTTTAGGTCGCTAGGCATACATACATTAAAATTAAAATATCTTTTATTATTTTATTTTAAAAAGATAATGAAGCAAAGAAAAGACCACAAATGTTACTTATGGATCTACGATTTTCGAATTATTATTTTTCGGACATGTCGCTTTCTTATCATGACTTTCTTTAATCAAGTAAGGTAAATAAAAGCCTATATACGTCCCACTGCTGGGCCCAGGTTTACTCTCATTTCTGAAAGTTTTAGGGCAAGGAAATGTCGAACTTCACATGTCTTCGAGATATTTGTTTTATTTCTCAGACATGTATGCATAGATTAATGATAGGTCATCGCGCGCGTCAGAGCGTGCATGTTTCCTCACGATGTTTTAGGCTCAGAAGGGCTAGAACCCAGAGCCGTAAAGCCAGTTTAAAAAAAACACGATGTTTTCCGCTGATAATCTGAGCTACCACGCACCGCTACCGCCTAAGGGTATTAGTGTTCTGTGCTACCACGGCTCTCAAATAATAAGGTCTAATAATAAGGATTGTAAGATTTATTTGCTATAAAATTGGACTTATTTTATATTTTATGCCGCAGTTGTGGTTGAAAATTATTAAATTAAATAAATCTTTTACTGTAAAATGTTTTTCTTTTATATTTCATTTTATTTGAAGGTTTCACTCATTTCATCCATAACGCGTGTGAACTGCACACATGTTTTTTATATTCAAGTGCCTCTTAACAGTTACTTTTCTGCCGACTTCCAAAAAGGAGACGGTACTCAATTCGACTGTATGTTTTCTGCCGACTTCCAAAAAGGAGACGGTACTCAATTCGACGCGTATGTTTTTTTTTAATGTGTGTTACCTAATAACTTTTTACTGGGTGGACCGATTTCGATCATTGTTTTTTTATATGAAAGCTGATACTTCTCGTGTGGTCCCATATGAATTTGATCAAGGTCAGACCAATAGTTTTTGAGTTATTTGAGTTACTCTTAATAACTTATATTGAAGTCGGCTGTACAAAAAATTTTAAATTATTAATGATAGCATTTCTACAGCATTTCTTTTATCTTTTTTCTTTCGTGCTTCTTCTGCCACACCCAACTTTCACTACAATACAATAAGGTTGGGACTAACATAGCATTCCGAATTGCCATAAGGGACTTCTTTGACACATTCTGACTTCTCATAATAGAGTGAAGGGTCCCATTTACTCTGTGTCCTGCGTTCAGTCTACGTTCTACATCCGTGTCATGTCCACCATCCCTGCTAAACACACTAAATTAATATAATAAAAATTAATTTAAGTTCAGTGACGGCTCCGTGGCGCAGTGGCTTAGCAATGAGTTGTTGCGCTGGGGGCCGCGGGTTCGAATCCCGCACGGAACAAGTATTTGCATGGCCTACAAATAATTGTTCAGGGTCTGGATGTTTGTCCTCGTGCAATTTGTGTTTGTAAACTGCTTCCACGACACAGGAGAAAATCCTAGTGTGGGGGTAACGTTTTTAAAAAAATAGAAAAAAGAAAAAGAAGAGTAAATTAACAAATTTTTGAGACACTCCTAATAAATTAAATCGTATTATGACGTAGTACCTAATTTATTACTAGCTGGCCCGGCAGACGTTGTTCTGCCCTTACTGACGATGTCGCGATGAGTTTTATTTTCACACACACATACTTTTCTATAAATTTATTATACGTATAGCTAAATCCTAGTTAGGACTAATAAAACCATCAGTAGCAATAATGACAATAAACTAAAAAAAATGGAAAAACATATCCCCCTTTTTTACTTTTCCGTAAGCGGCATAGATTACTGTATATATGGTAAGCGGATAAAAAGTTGCCCATAATATTGTTTGTTATACACGATCATTTTCTGTCTACGTACAAAATTTCATGGAAAACTGGCCAGTAGTTTTTGCGTGAATCATGAACACACAATTTTTCTACAGATTTATTCTAGGTATAGATAGACTAGTATGGATGTATACATTGTGTCAACTGTTACTGACTCAATTGAATCGTGTAACGTTGAAAGGTTGCAAGCAGAGTTTAAAATCAGTACAATGTAAGTGATTACAAGTTTCAAATGTTCGCAAATATCATGTAAAGCTTTTTTGAATAAAACTATTTTTTAGGGATTTTATCGCGTTTAATTTACTATTTTAATTCCCCGACGTTTCGGGTGCTTTACAGCAACCCATGGTCACGGGGGGACTGAGATGTTTGACGTCCCGATGTCACAGTTAGTCCGGCTACCTTCAGTTTTTTAATATTAATATTTGGTTCGATTTACGCAGAATGAACTTACAGTATCTTGAAGTCTAGCAGTGGTATGCTTAGGTTTGGATTTAATTTTGTTAATTATGGGATCACAAGCAGATGGCAGCACCTATCCATCTTCTCTATTAAAATTAGGATGTTTTTTTAATTTTAATAGCCTCGCGTATCATCCTTGGTAAGAATCGGTGTTCTTTTGCGAGGATTTGTGGTCTATCAAATCTGATGTAATGGCAGGGACGATCTTGAACATGTTCACAGACTGCAGACTTTCCAGACAATAATAAATAATATTAAAATAATTTTAAAATAGTAAATTAAACGCGATAAAATCCGTAAAAAATAGTTTTATTCAATGTGTAGTGTTCGCGTAAATATAAGAAATCATAAAGCTTTTTTATTATTTTTATACTGAATTATAAAAATATTGTTAAATTAGCTTTGAAAATTCAACCTTGGTTGCAACATATTAATTATATCGGTAGGACTTTAGATTAAGTGGTATGCTAATCTGTTTCTTTCATACCACTTGATTAAATAGAGTCATCACTCACAACCGTAACACACTAGCAATCATCGTGTACGATATTAATTAGCTGGCAGCCGAATCCTGTACCCTTGTAATATACATAGCCACTTAACATTGCGATCCCCGTTCATTACTAATGCAAGTAATTAGCTGCGAGCGTCCAACAAGTGCCACTTTATCGGCCATATATCGCGATTAGTGCCCGATTGCCGTTAAGCGATATACGTAAGTGTACGCTGGCTGGTAGGGAACTTAAGTGCCCCAGAAAGTGACGTAAAAATAAAAGTTACTACCCCTAGTTGTATTTCTTCACTACTGTCAGGTTATGTAATACTTGTGTCAATTTTTTTTTACCAAGAAATTACATTGAGTTTCCCTAAAAACAATTTTTTTTCTGGAATACTTACGTAAATGGAATATGAAACTATCGTCAATAGTAGACGGAATTTTAATAATAAATAAATATTTGGCATTTACAAGCAAGTTTTATATATCCATGGTGGCGTTATGCTATTCCGGAGGCATAGAGCAGAAGTTCGGTGGTATTTTCTTCAAGAAACGCGACAACAGTCTACTCGTATTGTAGAAGTACAGACCGATTTCGCTGCTGAGCCGCGTCTGCGTGCTGTTTTCGAAATTCAACACGAATCGTCTAGCACGCCAACTTGACGTCTTCCAGCCTACCGACCAAGACTGTCCCAAAAAGTCTTTAGTACCATAAACCACATACATACTTTTTGGAAAATTACACAGAATACCTAAGAGTACAATCTGCTACAGTGTCTTGGGTATGTCGATTATTAGAAAACCTTCAATTCTGTCGGAGTTTGGGTGGTGTTGCCGTCCCTTTAGCCGGTACCAAGTTGTCGGTCGAAGGGTTGCTACAGTAAGGTTACGATGGCTTCCGAGAATAGAATCAGAGAACGGAACCTATCCAACTGTAAAGAGCTGTAAGATATGGTAAAGTTATATCTTCAAAACTCTTCACCGCTGCATTAGAAGACGTTTTCAAACTAGCTGTGAAAGGATAAGGTATTACATTAATGCTAAGTACATAACTCATCACTCACTCAATAAGTGAAATTAATAAGTGAAATTCGCAATAAAGTTATCGTAGTCAACCCAGGATAACCGACATAACAGATGTAAGATAACAGATGTAAGCTGAATTGGCAATGGGCCCGCTATATAGCTCGAAGCACCAACTATCGATGGGGAATAAAGGTCCTCGAGTGGCAGCCTCGTATTGGTAGGCGAAGTGTAGGGCGGCTCCCACTAGATGGAGTGACGACATAGTAAGACGTGTGAAGTGTTTTGTGGCATTCCTTGTGGGATGTGGGGTGTTGTGTGTAACAATGTGTGATAAAATACGAGTATTTTTTACTTATTACAGTCAGGTAAACTATTTTGCTAATATACGGGTACTAAGTATTTAATTAAATTATGCGATAGTCATATCACTGTTTTTAATTCTATCAATATGTTGTATTTTGGCATTAATGATAAATTTAATAATCAACTTATTTGCACAGAAATTATACAAATGCTTTATAAAACGGAGCAGCACGGCACGGCATGTTTAACATGTTTGTTTGTCTAGTCAAATTGTATAACTCTAATGTAATCAGAGTTAATGAATTCGCCCCTAGTTAGCGTATCGGTCGCGAGCAATAGAGATTAGAGACTACCTTACTGAATAATCTGAGCAGTAATATTAAAGCAAGCAATAAAATAGTTGTATTATCTATGCTAGTTTTAGCACATTATCATTACAATGATAGTGGAACAGAAATGTAAAATTCTCAGCATTTAAATAATACATTTTTTTCATCAGTGCCAAAACTTTTGCGTGCAATTATCCTTTCTTAATTAAAAATAATACAGTGCTTTATTATATGCACACCGGCACAATTAGCGGAACAGAAAAAAAAGTGAGACTATGAGATAATAACGCATATATTTGACGAAAATGTAATTAGACACAAAATAACAAATTGATTAACATCTTTTAACAACGACTTTGAAAAGTCTTCGTTATTTTTATTGAAAAATAAAGAAATTTGAAATAAGTGAAATTTTTAGATAATTATGAACCATCACAAAAAATAAAAAAAAGTAAGCATTAAATGATTTAACAATAAAATTAAAGCAAAATTAATAACGAGTGTTTCCCCCTCTTGCTCTGATTACGGTTTCCATTCGTCTGGGCATGCTACAGATTATGTTATCGATGATTTCTTGAGGCAACCGCTCCCACTCCTCAAGTAATGCGTTTCCAAGTTCATTCAGATTGTTGGGGGTGGCATTCTGGATTTAACCCTTCTTTTTAGCAAGTCCCAGACATGCTCAATCGGATTCATATCGGGGGAATTTGCTGGCCACTGCATCACCGGTATACCTACGTGGCTCAGATATGCCTGTACCGATTGTGCACTATGAGCACGAGCATTATCTTGCATTAGAATAAAGTCGTCACCAATAAATGGGGCAAATGGTACAACATGTTCTTCTAAAATGTCTCTGATGTATAGATCTGCTGTCATGGTCCCTCCTGTGACTATCACTAACTCCGTGCGAGCTCCCAAACATATCCCTCCCCAAACCATAATCGAGCCGCCACCATAAGCCACTGTGTGTTCAAAATTAGACTGTATGTGGCGTTCTACTTTGCGTCTCCATATTCGCTGTCTCCCATCGATCTGTTTTAAAAGAACTCTGCACTCATTAGTAAAGAGAACCTGCTGCCATTCGTTCAAATCCCAATGACGATGTTCTCGCGCATAGCTTAATCGGTTTACGCGGTGACGTCTCTCAAGTTTTGGGCCTTTGGCAGGTATATACGACCCTAAACCAACTTCTTCAAATCTCTTGCGAACTGTACGCTCACTTACTCGTACTCCTCGAACGTCTTCCAGTTCATTTCGAGCTTGTACAGCCGTTAATCGCGTATTCCTACGAACTCCAAGTTGAAAAAAACTGTCATCTCGCCTCGATGTACATCTTTTTCTACCTTGACCCCTCCTCCTCACAAGAGAATTAGACGATCTGTACCGCTGGATGCTGCGATGAATCGTTGATACTGGTCGACGAAGCCTTGAGGCAATCGATCTGTAGGTATGGCCATTTCTTCTCATTTCATCAGCCCTAATGATTTCCAGTGATGTTAAGTCAGGCATAATAAAGAGCTTTTAATAAACAAAATTGCCTATAGAATAACAAATTTATAAAAAACCATTAAGTGCAATTTTTCAAAAAAATTACAATTACGTAGTTATTACTCGAACAAGTTGACAAAACGTATTGTTCGGGAAAATAAAACAAATGAATGAAAAAAGTGTATGTCATCTAATTTTCTATTTTCAAATTTAACAATAAATTAAAAAAATATCATAACTGGCCAGTTCCTCAAGTAAAAGATTTTAAAATCCTGCTTTTTTTGTGTTCCGCTAATTGTGCCGGTGTGTATATTTAATTAAGAAAGTTATTTAGTTAATTTAAACGTAATTTAATATTTTAAATTAAAACTAAAATATTTAGCAATCCAACGGTTGATAATTAACAACAGCAATATTATATATTGTATCTTGCGATTTAGATTTAACAGTAATTATGCTTATATATATAAATGAAACGTATCATACCAATGAGCCTTGGCAATAAGTTGAAAAACATGCTGGTTTACTTCTTTAGTCCATACTATGCTAGTAAGTACTTTTATTTATTTTGTATCCGTACCATACCATAATAATGTGTTCAGTCAGCATCAGGACGCTTTTATCGAGGTCTAATTAAAAAAAAAAACTTATTTACCTTTAACCTAAATTCCACTTTCACCAGTAGAAATTCTAGCTTCCGCAAAATTGCATAAGAGGGATGTTTGTTGCCACAATTGCACTGGTTGGCAGGCGAGATGACAAACACAATTTTTAATTACTTTTCTCGTATCATGAAAATCACTTGTTTCAATTTCCTCTGTCACCTCTTACGAAACCCCCGAGATGGTAAGGAGTCGTGGATTCCCGTACGTTGCCACAACGCTGTTAATGTTCTTCTTAACTTTTTAGCTCTTTTTAATAGAATACTGTTCAATATAAAATCTCATAACACGTTCACAGATGGAGGAACAATGAAAATTTAAAGTTATAGTTAAGTATCTCTGTTATATCCGTGGTTATAGTACTATCGTTAACATTAAACATATACGTTCACTACACATGAACAATAATAGTTTATTAAGCTCTATTTTATACTTAACATTTCAACTTAATGATTATGTATATTGTGTGATATCATTCACACCTAAAACAGAATCGTAACACGCATTACTTTTGACTGTAGAGTGCAATTAGCTCGACGTGTCTTCCTCACTAATGCGGTTACCTGTGTTTGTCTATCGGTACCTACAATGCTCACGTCCCTCTATACTACGTACAAAACAAACGTGTGCAATGCACATACGTGTTGGGAAGTGTAACGCGATTATGTGACGGTCAATCCAATCGCTATATAGGTAGATTATACAGACGTGCTGTGAAACAGAAATAAGAAAACTTTGTCTTATTTCTTCAAGCAATTTACATAGTTATTTTTTTTGTATAGGATTGGGTGACAAATTAGCACACAGTCCACCTGATGGCAAGTGATTGCTGTGTCCCATAGAGAGTACATCTATCTTCAATAAATAAACAAAATGCAAATACGTTGTCACCCGTGAGGACTAAGAAGGTATGCCTCTTTTTCCAATAAAAAGGTTCTCTACACTCACCATACGAAACACACTAGTGTTAAGCAGCTATTTTACGCTGGTATTTTGTGAGAGCGTGGTCCTTCCCCGGTCAAGCCGCAGCTGCAGCATGGCTCTACCACAAATAAAAACTAATAAAAAAATAAAAAAATATTTATCGTGTCCGTTACAAATATACGTATATAAAATTCACAATTTAAAAAAAAAACAGACAATTAAAATTTAGTGGAGAGTCAGGGGATAAGCGCTCGTTTCAAAATTTCATAATTAGCGACCAAGCCAAGAATTAAACGACTCCCATCCTCGCTAGTACTACCTATACCTACTGAAATTGTTAGTTGCAATTTTAAGTGCTGATTTACCACGTGTTCACATTGAAGGAAAATATCGGGGAGAAATCTGTATTAGTGTAACTTTTTCGAGATCATAATATCACACAACGAACATCGTCAATACGTAGGGGCAGTATGGAGGATTCTTCATGTAGGTATATAAACTACTCTGTGGTCTATTACCTGCTTCCAAAACCTCCACAGATGTAAGAACATGACTCTTACTTTAAATTTCTACTTAAATATGACTGCAGTGGTAAATTTATTTTGTTTCGCTGTAATTTTTGTTGACGTGCAAAGCAGATTTGTATGTAGGTACAGGTTTGGGCAAAATCGGTTTAGCTGATTGAATTTAACCGCAACTAGTTCGATGTGTTTGATTCAAAACTAATTAGTCTTTGTTTGCAGGTGTGGTTTCAAAACAGGCGCGCAAAATGTCGAAAACATGAGAGCCAGTTGCATAAAGGTTGGTACGAATAATGTTATTATGTAGTGCGTATTAAGCTTTTAAAAACTGCCGCGTTTCATGTCGTATGAATTTATACATAGATGCTCAGATGTAGTGTTTTTACTCACTGTATATAATAATGATATAGATGTAAAAATATAAGTTTCCCATTTCGAAGTTGTTTTAATGGGTCTGACTTTTGGAATAAGAAATTATGATAATCTACACGTTTTGAGGCGTCTAGAGGTCTAGAGCGATAAGTAATATTTACGTAGAGTCCGAATCCATCGCTTTAGGGGATGTGTTACCACAGATTACTTAATAGTTTACGTGTTACTCAGGTTGTTGATGTGTGTGTGTGTGTGTGTGTGTGTGTCTGTGGTTGGGTGTGTGTGTAAACGAACCGAACAACAACAGAAACCTTAATCACACTAACGAAGTTTTACTTTCGACTCTACATAATATTATAATGGGGCCTATACACCATCGGCCATGATGGACGAATTCTAGCGATCACAATCGTGTAGAGGGCATAATCGCCTATGGCTGCCCATGATCAGTAATGGTCGAGCGTAATGGCCGCTGTGTCAGTTTTTCGGACAAATATTAAAGGAAGTTTGACCATGACCATGACCATTATTTCAACGTGGTAGAGCCATGCTGCAGCTATATTAGTAGTATATTTGTAGCACGAAGGGGTCGGCTCGACCGGGGAAGGACCGAAACTTTCTCACAGAAAACCAGCGTAAAATAGCAGCTTAACGCGGCTGTGTTTCGTATGGTGAGTGTAGAGAACCGGAGACCCTTTTTACTGGCAAAGAGGCATTCCATCTTAGTCCTCACGGGTGACAACGCATCTGCATCTTGAGTCTTTATTGATGATAGATGTAGATGTCTATGGGTCACAGTAACCACTTACCATCAGGTGGACTGTGTGCTCGTTTGTCACCCTATCATATAAAAAAAATGATAGTGCGCGCGTCTACATGATCGGATCTCCGTAAGGAACAGTTGTGTCTCTGGAGCTATTTTAAATTCGTTTATTAAAAAATTAAAATACAATCAGTATTATTAAATTCGGACAAAATAATAGGAGTGCATAAACTTGAAGGTGCAAACAGTTTTACTACCTCTCAGAACTTCCTGAGTGCCTGGTACTTCGTGCTCCGCCTACTGTTGTGACGCAAGTATAAATTACTACCATTCCTGTGCGATCGCTTTGACACCATTTTTGTTGAGCAACAGCCGCACCCCCACATTTCAACGCCACCCAATTAGCGGTCTAAGAAGGTGCAAACAGTTCTACTACCTCTTTCAACTTTATGAGCGCCTAGTACTTCGTACTCCGCCTACTGCTGTACGCAACTACAATTACAACCAATTCTGCGTTAGCGTAACGTCACTATTTGTGTTGAACAACAGTCACACACCCACGATTGCATCGCCACCCAATTAAGGGCTACTACCACTACCTACCACTGCACTAAAGCCATCTTAGAGGCAGTATGGCCACACGCCCCGACGCTACGTCATCCGCGACATCGGCAGCGGCGAATACATCTCCTAGTAGCTCTGCTACCTTAGTACATACGGATACTGTACTCAACAGAACTGCCTCTGACACGGATCTATCGCTTATTACGCCTCCAAACTTTGTTTCCCAAAGAAATAAGAGACGCAGGGACCAATTGGATGATTCGAGGTCTAACCAAATGGATGATTTTAAACAAGAAATGCGTAGGTTAATGACATTTTTTTCTGCCTCCCAAACCAACGAACTTAAACAAGTAAATACCGTACTTAAAGAGATACAACAGACAAATAATAACATTGAAAGCTCAGTCTCTTTCTTAGCCGCACAAAATGAGGAGTTTAGGCAGCGAATAATCGAACTTGAAACACAGGTTAAGCAGGATAGGAATTATATTACTGTTCTGGAGAATAAAATGGAAGAATTACAATTGGAAAATCGTAAGTCGAGCTTCGAAATTAAAAATGTTCCGAAAAAGCCTAACGAAAAAAAAGAAGACCTTATTGATATGGTTAGTGCTCTCTCCAAGTCTCTGGACTACAATATCACCAAAATGGATATTAAAGATATTTACAGAGTGCGGCCAAAGTCCATTAACAATAAAAGCCCAACCATTGTAGTGGAAACAAGTTCGCCCATACTAAAGAATGATTTACTAAAAGCAGCAAAATCATTTAATATCAAACATAAATTTAAGCTGTGTGCCAAACATCTCGGCTTTAAAACACAAGAAGATACCCCTATATTCCTGTCCGAGCATCTAACCCCAAAAGGAGCGCGTTTACATTTCTTGGCGCGTGATCTGGCCAAGTCAAAGAACTATAAATTCTGCTGGACCGCCTATGGTAAAGTGTATGTAAGAGAGAATGAAAACTCTCCAATTATAATGATACGTAATGAAAGTCAAGTACACCAACTTCTGGGTAGTCAGCAGCAGGGACCCCAAGTAATCTGACTATCTGAACATGTACTACCAACCTCTGGTATTACTGTTATTACTAAGCTCACCCAACTGATAAACTCTGTTATTCTGCCTGATTATCTGTTTTTATTGTGTTATTTGTATTTTTTTTCTCTGTTTCACTTTGTAAAAACTTTTAGAATTATTATTAAGCATAAAAATCCAATATATGTCACACATTTCTTCTACCATACTTTACAGACTCAATTATATACTCAAAAATCCTCATACATTATTCCTCTCCAACAGTCTTCATTCAAATCTCTATACACACAACCACCAAACGAAATAAATCTTTACCTCATTCTGATAGAACGAAACCTTCCTCATATAACTAAAATCATTATAACTAGCCATAATCCTGTAGTAACGATATTTGCATTTTTCTATACACCAAATGGGTGATCCTCAACTTTGTAATTTGAATGTGATAGACGGTATTGATATTTCTCGTGCAATAGAGTGTGACTGTTCGGAGCTCCCATCTTATAAAATTAATTATGAATCCGGTCTTGTGATTATTTCCCAAAACATCTGTAGTATTTACAGTAACTTTGACGATTTGATGTTGACATTGTCTAGTCTTCCCTTTGAGGCGGATATTTTGATCCTGACTGAATGTAGACTTACCTCATATAAACCTGTACCACAACTACTCAATTATAGTTCTTATTCAACGACACGCCATCTGAATCAGAATGATGGTGTAGTTACCTATATTAAAAAATCTTTACAGCCAAAAGTTAGGGAAATAAGTCTTACTCACGCTTCTTGTCTTCAGCTTGACGTACTTAATAACACAATATTATGTATTTATCGATCCCCTTCTAATACAAATGCTGATGATTTTATAGACTCACTTTGTTCACACTTGGATACCCTAACTAATCAAAATAACATTATAATCACGGGAGATATTAACATTAATATTACACCCAAACTTATTGAACCGTCATATGAGTATAAAAATAGAACTAACTATTTGAACGCTCTCTCAGCATATGGTATACTAGCGGGTCACACTATACCTACTAGAGAGAAGAACTGCCTAGATCACTTTATGCTAAAGATTAACAAGAATAAACATTCAGCATTCATAGCAGTTTTGCGTACCACTATCACAGATCACTTTACTACCGTTCTTTCTCTATCTAAGACTAAACTATTAAAGTCTATTAATAAAACAAAAACTAAAACAGATTATATTAAAGCTCATAAGGACCTTCAACAAAAAAATATTAATGAATTACTGTTTTATAGTGATCCAACGGCTTTATCTGACCGTCTGATAGCTATGCTCACTGAATCACTGAATTCGAATACCATAAATATCTCGATTCCTAGAAGCCAGCGCACAATAAAGCCGTGGATTACTCCTGGCATTTTACGATGCATCAAACATCGTAACAAACTACAAAAACAGCTTCGAAAAGAGAGTCACAATGAAATATTAAAAATAACCTACACTAGATATAGAAATTTATGTAATAAGCTTATTAAAAAACTTAAAAGGAAATATGAAAGAGACTTGCTTACTAAATCAGTTAGTAATAATAGACTGCTGTGGAAAAATATAAAAACCATTACCTTTAACAATAAATCATACGATGAAAGTGAGGCGTTATTCAAACTGAAAAATGATCCAACTGAATCTGCAAATCATATTAACAATTACTTTGCGAAAATAGGAGAGCATCTTGCCGAAAATATTAATTCTAGTGGCAATTCTAATCTAATTCTCGGAACTAGAAATACTGTTGCTACATGCAACTCCTTTGTCTTGCTACAAGCTGATGTGAAAGAAGTCGAAAGAACACTCATGAACTTGAGATCAGATGGCGCTCCTGGTTGGGACAAAATTCCCATCACGTTCTTAAAACTTGTAAAAAACGAAATTGTACCTATAGTTACTCACTTAGCTAACTTATGTTTTGAGCAGGGCGTTTTTCCAGCCCCGCTAAAAAAGTCAGTAGTCACTCCTGTATACAAAAGTGGGGACAGGGAGGATGTGGGTAATTATAGGCCAATTTCGGTACTGCCAGCTATCTCGAAGATACTTGAGAGACTTTTGAATTCTAGATTATTAAATTACTTAGAAAAATTTCGGCTTCTATCGACGTCACAGTATGGCTTCAGACAGGGCAGATCAACTGAAGATGCAATAGCTGCTCTTAGCCAGCTAGTTACTGAGACGATGGATAAAGGGATCAAGTGTCTGACTGTTTTTTTGGACCTCAGGAAAGCGTTTGATACCGTTTTCATCCCTATTCTTGTCCAAAAACTAGAACAATTAGGTATCAGAGATGTTGCACTATCTCTCTTTAAGAGCTATCTCTCTGATAGAATGCAAAGAGTGAAATTGGGTCATTACATCAGTGAAGACCTTGCTGTATCCTATGGTGTACCACAGGGAAGTGTGTTAGGACCAACGCTCTTTCTTATATATATTAATGACCTCTGTAATCTAAAAATTGACCATGCGCACATCTTTTCCTATGCCGATGATACAGCAGTCGTTTTTTCTGG